CAGTGACGGACATACTACCCTTGCTAGTTGACTGCCCGACATTCATTTACCTGTCTACCCTGGTGAGAATTCAAACCTGTCTTCTTCTTAAGCATTCAAGTGTAAAGCTTTTGCAAGAAACTGCTATTTGAAAGACATTCATAAATTCAAACCATCCATTGGTAATTAACATTAACTTAAGAACTTTCCATTTTCCATCTATTTAGATTATGATTTCTCGATGTAATGCAACTGACATACATCGTAATGAATAGCAGACAGAGTTTTTCCAGTGATTAAAGCTAGCCTCCCAAGCGGCCTCCTATTTATAACCCTGACCATAATTCATTGACTGTAACAAGCTGAATCTGTACTAGTAAATACCACTGTACTTCTATTGTAAAAATTTCCCAATGTCATTGCATCACTTTCTTCCAGTGGTCAAGGCAGTCCAGAAAGTTAAGAATGACCCACAAATAAGATCATAACACTGACCAGTGTCCACGAGATGACTTGTTGACAGCCCTGACTAAAATACCTGTGGTCACTTTCGAGTTGTAAAGTGATAAAAACAGACCCTACAAAAGGCTTCGCTCCATTGGACAGATGGTAAACAAAGCTCTCATGGTGGGCATAGAAAAAATGACAGATGTCCGATTAGAAAATGACTCCTCCCCTACCTAATGATGGGTAAAATTAATTGGTGGGACAAAAAGTGGAAAGCTAGTGAGCCGAAACTGACCAGTCAAGCATGCAAATTATGTCCATTGAAGATAATGGCCAGATCCACTTTCGGCATACTCAAATAGAATTAGAGAAATGTCTAATTGTTTTGACTGTACAAATAATTAATGCCGTGTTCGCAGTCTTGTAAATCTCGACATAAATTGGCCATTCTGACAGGCGAGGAGTAAAACAAATTGGACGGTTTGTAAAATGATTGGTTGAAGTTTAGGGTCTTAGGTCAACTATTATTGCATAAAAGGCTTTCAATTTGGACACTAACGGAGAGAATTTCGCTGTCGATGAATGAATATGAAACAAATGGTGTCCAAAACGAGTTTTCCGTCACCCCAAGATAGTTTAAATTGGAATACTAAGTTCTTAACATTGCATGAATGAACACGAAAAAAAATGTTCGAGGCCAGGTCATTAACAGTGATTGGTCTGTCCTCGCCGATTTTAAAGATTTTCTGATGTGCATGATGTTCATTTCAAAATAATTGGACAGAAACAGAAAAAACACTGAGTAAAATACAAAGCCATAGAATATGATAATGATGTTTCAAATGCTGTTCACTAGAAACCGGACTGTGTATCAAGACTGAAAGTGATTTTTCTTTATTATCTAGCAATAAGCCTACGTCTGGTAATAAGCCTATGCCTTATACTGTTGTCTGTCTCTTCAGTAAAACCTATGTCTTGTAATAAGCCCATCCATATTTAAGGCTGTTGTCTATCCCTCAGTAACCCCATGTCTGGTAATAAGCCCATCCATATCTAAGGCTGTTGGTTTTCCTTTAGTAACCCCATGTCTGGTAATAAGCCCATCCATATCTAAGACTGTTGTCTATCCTTCGGTAAGCCCATGTCTGGTAATAAGCCCATCCATATATAAGGCTGTTGCCTATCCCTAAGTAAGTCAATGTTTTGTAATAAGTCCATCCATCAAAACACTACAATTTTATATAAATGAAAAAAATCATATTTCTGAAACCAAAATAGGCTCTTGAAATTTATAAATGCATGTTGAAAATGAGGCAACTGGAAAAGGGCAACAATGTAGATTGCTCAAAACAAACAATTCATCAGTAAAAGAGCAAAGCATTATAACCTTTTAGTCAGTCAGTCATTAAATATGCTGTTTGCTGGTATTTTGATATTTTAACTTAACAATATTAATAATATTGATGAATTCTAGTTCAACATTGTTATACATCAAATATCCCATCATGCTTAGTTTCAGTAAAAATGGTTGAGCGGTCATCATATGTGGTTAAGATAATTAATGTGTTGTCGACGACAATAACAATGCATCCTGGGTGTTCTCAAACACAAAATAATTACTCCAACAATATCCTTTACCTCTAGGTTCGAGGTCAACATAACAGGAACTACTTTATCAATATTTACTTGACAAGATTTTTCTATAGATATTTTTTGACAGCTTCTGCTGTATATAATTCTGAAGTCATTGAATTACAATCTTACAAGCAGAGTATAATTTCTATGTTTGGCTTTTTTTTTGAAAAAATAATTATACAAAATTACGTTTTTCTGGCGTAATCATAACACCTGTGGAAGCAGTAGAAGTGTCTTCTTCAAAGGCAGTTATTGAAATTACGATAAAAAATAGATTTATTTCATCTTTAGAAATCATCAAATACAGCAAAATATGTAATGAAATTCATATCAATGAATGAGATAAGAACTCCTAAACATCAAAACTTCTGTTCTGCTTTGTTGTTTAACTTTAATAAAGCTTCTTCTCAAATAATCAAAAAAAAATCTACTTTTTAAAATCTTTTGTTGTGCACTTTGAAGTTTTATCGGAAATCTTGAAAAACTCAACCTCACATGCGATCTGTGCCAAAATTTAGCAGTTTCATAAAAACCTGTCAAATTTCTCACAATACCAACTTTGTTGATAGTATACTTTGAAATGGATTTGACCTACCAAATATATCTCTAATCTTTAGGTACAAAAAGTGCAGTTAGTCGCTCTAGCACTTCAAACAGTAAAGCTTTTGTTATTAAAACATGAAGATCTGTTACCATAGTTATTTTTCTTTACACCTGAAATGTGCAGATATAACATCACCCTAAAGGGCAATAACTGTGGATAAAACATCTCCTGCCATTGTTTACAAGTATTCTAAATATGATATGAGAATTCTATAATACTCTAACAGCAACTAAGTGACAGAATCTCTCAGAGCAGCCTATAGAATCCTCTAATAGCTTTTTCGGCTATATCCTAACACTTGACTGAAGCAAGCCTTTCCTAGATGTTATTAATTACCAGCAAAATGGAAAATATACTGAAACAAAGTATTGCTGAATGATACTTATGTATCCTGTTGATCAAATTATTGTCAAGGGACTGTTTTGTAATTTTTGAGATCCAGATCTGGCATTGTGTTATTGAGTCCAGAAATTTGCTCAAAATAAATTTTCTATTCATAGCAACAGTGACCTTAACCTAGATTGACACTTTAACTTAAAAAGAAATGTTTAAGAAAACAATCTGATACTTTGAGTTTAATCAGTCGAAGGGAAATAAACTTCTATTTTTAGTAAGTGACCTTTATACTGACCTTCCACATCAAAAGTAATCTTAAATAAGCCGTGTGGAAATGGAAGAACTGTATGAAGTTTGGGTTTATTCAGTGAAATGGAACTTGAGTTATTAAATAAAAACCTTCTATGTATAGCAATAGTCACTTTGATAATTGACCTTTTAACCCAAAAAGCAATGTTAAGCAAGCACTCATTATTAGAGTTTGGGTTTGATTGAATGAAGGAATCTCCAGTTGTTGTTGGGAAATGGTGATGCTGATGTAAGGAATGAGACAGAGAACTGCATTACAAATTACGATATCCCCTTCTGATCTTTGATTGGGGCAGGAAGATAATAAACATGAGTGTTGTGATGAAGAGATTAAAAGGAAGCATAACTGCAGATCTTTCTACAAATCTTTATATCACTAGTTTCTCAAACAGGTAACACTGTATCACAGATGCCATCAACAGATGCCACTATCTATTTATACAGCTAGGCAGCTTCCCAATGTATATATAACATTTTTATGAAGACATCTACATTGAACATTGAACACTTTACACAGAATGTACAAAATTTGTTGAAAATCCAAATGATTTAAGATTTAGATAATTCTCGAACAACATTATGCATCAACAAATTTAAAAAAAACAAGCTGTCTTAATTTGAAAATTAAAAGCATTTCCTGTAACATACCTTATTCCTACTTATTGTTATGAAAACAAACGGATATTTTTTAAAGATATTTTGAATTCTTCTCAATCCAAGCTCATAATAATTCAACATACAATATATAATATTCTTAATGTTGACATGTACAGAATTGAAGCCAAATACATTTATTTTTGGAAAATGCACCATTTATCTTTTGTCATTTTTGTCCTGTGATAATTATTATTTAAATGATGTCTGTTTAATTGTGGGCACCCATGATAACCCTGCCATGGAGCTGCAGTATCAGGGTCGAGATGATTAAATTATCTAAGGATTTACAAGTGTTACTGTGCAGTGTTTCCCTACTGGGTGCTCTATTGAGCTATGGCACATATCAATTTTGCGGTTGAGTAAATCTTGTGTTGCTGGGAATGACGGGGAGTCGGCTAGCTGAGGGCTACACCAAAACAACACACAAATAACCACTATCATTCAAGATGACAGTGGGACCCTCACAGTAATTTGTCCCTAATGGTGGATTAAATATCCCCTGATGAGTTTCCCCCACAGGCCAGGGGTTAGGAGGGGCCAGTCTCACATAGAAGGGACCAGTCATGTTATGTCGTTGTCATGACAACACGACACCTGCTCATATGAAGACAAATGGAGAAAAATCTGTAGGTCATGTGATGCTGGGTTATGGTTTCAATTTAATGTGTCGCTGAACAATGCAAAATTGGTTTTGTAATGTACAGGATGAAATCTAGATGAACTCTGTAATGTTATCCAAATTTGAAATAATAAAATAAAAGAGAACTTTTCCGCTTCAGCATCCATTTTCCATCATCACCCTGAAAATTGGTAAAATAGTGCTGAAATCTACATCAAAGTACTGCAGTATAGATTTCAGGGATAAATACTTTTCTGTAGATTTTTTTTATTCTTGGAGACAACCTTTTATCTCCATTCTATATATCATTGAAATCTCAAGAAAACATCAGTACAGACTAGGTAAGCATACAACAGCTGGGGTCAAAGGTCAAGTTTTTAACAGCTAGGGTAAGAGGTCAAAGTTGAGACTTACAGCATCCTTGACACTGAAGACATGACAGTAGTGGTTGTCGTTGTCCCGTGTAATGTAAGCAAAGAAGTTCATGCTATCAGCATCCTGGCAAGCGCAGAAAATATTCCCAATCTCATGGTCACATATCACTCTCTGTAACACAAATAGGTATACATGGTCACATATCACTCTCTGTAACACAAACAGGTATACATGGTCACATATCACTCTCTGTAACACAAACAGGTATACATGGTCACATATCACTCTCTGTAACACAAATAGGTATACATGGTCACACACATATCACTCTCTGTAACACAAATAGGTATACATGGTCACACACATATCACTCTCTGTAACACAAACAGATATACATGGTCACATATCACTCTCTGTAACACAAATAGGTATACATGGTCACATATCACTCTCTGTAACACAAACAGGTATACATGGTCACATATCACTCTCTAACACAGGTATACATGGTTTAACACAAATAGGTATACATGGTCACATATCACTCTCTGTAACACAAACAGGTATACATGGTCACACACATATCACTCTCTGTAACACAAATAGGTATACATGGTCACATATCACTCTCTGTAACACAAACAGGTATACATGGTCACACACATATCACTCTCTGTAACACAAATAGGTATACATGGAACATCTCTGAACATTATCATTTTCATATCTGCAGCTTTGTCCAAAAAGGTCAGATTGAGTTGATTTTGCTTAGAAAGTCTTTGTTTTTCACTGGCGACAATTTTGATTTTCTACTAACAAGATGATAATTTTAAACAAGCCTTAACCACCTTGGCCAGATAAACATACTCAGATGTTATAAATGACTAAGTAGCAAGGACTTGTTAGCCCACTATCAAAATGGTGTGACCATTCTATTGTGTTAAGGATTTGACATTTCAGTGAGATAGCACTATAAAAGCATCCTTAAGGGGCCTCATCATCTGTGCACACCATCTTCTTAAGACTTCTAATACCTGTTGTGATGATGCAAAACCCAAAACATACAAAGCCTACAGGAGTTTGTAAAAGAAAATTCTGATTTAGTAGAAGAATTCACTTTAAACATTTTAAGGACCTTGAAATTGCCATACACGTTTATTTTCCTTGGTAATTGTATCTTTAATAATATCATATACATGAAAGCAAAACTACATTTGTTAATGTTTTAGCTATATCTAGATCAGAACCATCTTAAACTTTCAGACCAATACCAAACAGAAAATGTTTTAGTTTGTTTTTCCCTTGAATGAATACAAGTCCAAATAAACCATTATACCAAACCATTTTGACGTTAAACAGCTGGTAACTTGCTAATTAGAAAATTCCTCAATTACAAAGCCAGAATTCAACTCTTGTCCAAGTCAATGAAATATGGCATCAACACATAACCCCTTACCTCAGACTTGGCATCTATAAATTTTACGCCTCGGAAAGAAATAGCCAACTTGATGATAGGAATTTTTGCGATGACATCGGCAGATTTCTGCAATTAGATAAGTAATAATCTCTAAAGCAAAAACAACAAAATATCCACAAAATATCCCCATCAAGGGAGACAATACAGAAATAATACATCTTTTTTGCATAAATTTTAAGGTAAAATGAAAATGTAGAAAGTATTACGTTGTAAATCAGAATGAAAATTATATTCAACACTCATATCACTGTCCACAAAGATGTCTCAACTCGTATGGTTATTAATTGAAAGAAAAAACACTTGCTGTTCTATAATTTTTGTAAAAAGACATCAAAAGTTTGGTTACAATCAATTCCCTATCAGTCAGCACTTACAAAGGAACTCTGGAAATTCAAATCATTTTCAGCACATTTATTTTTCAGGCTATATGACAGACAAAGATAACCATGTTCTCCGTGGTTTGGAGAATGATTACAAAGTAATATTCCTGATTTATATTTTACTAGAATTAAAAAAAAAAAATTTTACTTGTTGATTAAAAAATTTACAATTTAATGATTTTAAGATATCTTTCTTTCTTTAGATCTTTTATTTTTTAGAATTGTTGACAAACAATAAACACAATTCACAAAGTTTTATGTCTATTTTTTAACCACTTTCTGTGTACATATCCTATTTTTCAGACTTTATGGGCGAACTGTTTTGTAATGTGGTATTCTTTGGTGACGTGGAAACAAGGAAAACTCACTTAAGTCCTTTATATCTAGACCTGATGACAACAAACACTAATAATCTAGTATTCTTTGATGGGGTCTAAATTTCTAAATAGAGTGTTTCCCTTTCAAAGTGATGGAACAATATGGCGGCCATCAAACTCGGCCCACTGGGATTTAGACCCAGGATCAAAGTCAACATCACATACTCGAGTTCTCCCTCTAACACATTAAGCAACACATTTTAAATGTCAGTTGGGACCCCAACACAATGGATTCTTCACAGGAAGACCATAATTGAACTAATACAATACATCCATTCATTTCTGCCCTTTCGAGAATCGTTCAAAGGCAGAAAAAAAAAAGTTTCTCTCTTGTTCTCTATGCTTGTCCTGGAGTGGAGTTTGAATCATGATAGCTCTTCAGCACGGGGAGATAAAAATGTAATAGTTGAAGACTGATGATTACTGGTCACAGCGAGTGATTAACGAGAAGGACCAATGAGTATGTCCTGCCCTATAACCATCTCGTAACCTTCCTCACTCAACCGCTTATGTATCTTGATAATGCATGCCCCAATGATCACTCCAATCAAATGAAGCCATTAGCATTTTTCAAATTAATTTTTCTTCTGGAATATGTCGGAAATGAAGAGTTCCCATAGAGAGGAGTGAAAGGATGGTAAAGAGAAATCTCGTTGACTTAATGACGACAAGATCTGACCCTTCCTTTGGAAGACTCCAATAATCTTCTGGCTTAAGTCCGTTCGTGATAGTTCTGATGAGCTCACCATATTAATAGGTGTCAAAAATGATGCATCGACACCTTCTTATCTGTGTGTGAAAATGATTTTATAAGCATCAATCAACCACACACAAAATTTACCACATCTTCGGCCAAAGCTTCTTAATTACGCAGAATGATTTCGAAATGAATGATGGAAATTTGATACCAAAAACGTCAGGATGGACAAAAAACGAATAATGTCCCATGACCATTTCAGCTTGTCAATCACCATATATGAATATTTTATATTCAAATCGAATCTAAAAAAAAATGCTTCATTTTCATCCATTACCCTTTTTTTCTTTCTGATGGAGATTATATTCTAGATTTTTCTTTCCAAGGTTTTTTTACATCACTAAACAGAAATACTTTCCTAACTTTCCAAAACAACTTAAAAGGAATTACCTTGCCTATGAATGTTATAAAAACCAAGAAAAGACACAAAGGTATTAACCAACAGTATTTCTCTGTGAACAGTTTTATCACGATAAACACTATATAGCTACAGCTTTGATATAATCATTCTTACTTTCATCAATGTTTTTAGGGATTCAATGATTACAGTTCACAGATTAAAATATCTTGCTAACAATTACTTTCATGGACATAAATACTCAAGTCATCATTGGTTTTTAATGAATTTGAAGCCTTTTGAATATGTCACTGAACAAAAAATTTCAAGATTAAGTACAATAATCCTGAATTGAGTGATCACTAACTTATCTTCAGTAGGAAATGCTATTAATTATGTGTGCCTAAGAATGCAGCTGATCAAACTAAAGCAATAAAAATACCCAATAAGAACAGATGTACAGTCAATTCTAAAAACTTCCATCCACTACATAGGAACTGAAGGGATTACACTAATATCTTTGTTCTATGACTACAAGTCACATTTGTATATTTCTATTTTAATTTTAGTCCCTTTATACCCATACTACCAGAGGAAATATCACCTTAAGTGCCTATGAACATGGTGGAATCTGTTGGAATATAACTTTCTTCCCTAAAGCCAAACTTTCATAAGAAGTCAACAATAAGTTGACATCTGGCTTTTCCAGGAGTTTTCTTTCAGTTGACAATACAAAACCATTAATACCAAAAATGTTTGTAAAGAATTTGTTTTTAAAAAAAGATTAGATCTCTTTATGTGCATGTCACACTGAATTGAAATTAAATCTTAAGTATTCATTAAACCATCTATTTTTCACTTCAAGAAATATGTTTGACAATTTCTTTTTCAAAAGTGAAAAACAGCAAAAAGTTCTGGAGGTGGTATACAGAGGTATGAATACCTTTAACTTCTAACAGTGATTCCAATTTTTGTCCTAAAAATCAAACCCACACAGTGCTTCCTGATACTATTGATTCTAAAGCCTGATGTACTATGTCAAATATACATTTTCGGTTGTAATCATTATTCCGTTCCAAGACCTATATTATTAGAACCATCAACACCATCTAATACCAGCTGAGAAAGTCACATTGATTATTCACAGCCATTGTTTCGTAGCTTTTTGATTGATGACTGATTCGCTGACACAACATGTCTGCAGTTCTCCGACAGCTCCACGGGCATTTCAGCCACAACTCTCTTTCAACTGTCACTATTCCGGACAGAATTCTTTAAATTGTGATTTAATTCCTTCGTTGGTGTATTCATTTATAACCCCTCCATGGCTCCGGGGGTGACAAAAGGAGGTAGACTGTACGGAGTTGTCCTAGGTGTGTTCAATTGCATTACATGAGCTTGGCTTGGTTTCACTGGGCAGAAACCAATTCATTAGTGAGATACAATGTCCAACCACGTTCCCCTTTTCAATAAAATCAGAACTCTGGAAACCTACATCAATCTGACCAGAATAACCTTTGGCTTCAGATTTTCCAGGTTAGGATACTGAATCGCAAACATTTTGCCAAATCCTCCTGGTGACTTTATCACCGAGAAAAATGACAAGGTCTTCATACGAAAGAATTCCTGGAAACATTAATCTCAGGGTCTTTATCCGATTTACACCAATAACATGGTAAATCGGACTCAAAGCCTTCTTATTCCATTGTAAACAAAACCATTCAGCCTCAAAATACAATCGCATCAGAAGAATCTGAATTAATTAAGCTTGTTAATAGAATCACATGAATGACTGCTGTGTAACTGTCACAGAAACACGTATTTAGACGCAGTTTTAGGAAGGGGGCATAACCTCTCTAAGTATCCAGAAAATTAAACCAACACACACATCCACAATCAGCATAAGATTCAATGTAACGTGAAATTTAATTATCTAGTTCCGATTTTACTGCGGGTACCACTTAAGAAGTCTTAATCTATCAAATCTTACTGAAATAATTTATTTGCTTATCTGGTGAAACATAACTGAACACAAGAACGAATTTTTGATAAAATTACCATTACAAGTTTTTGTAAAGCAAGGATTTCATAATTACCTTAAGAGAGAATTATGTCTTTACTTAAATATCATTCAGACATTTTTTGATTTGGGTATGACAACTTGTTTAATAGGAAATCATTCATAATATGAAGAATTTATTTGACTCTAGTGAGAAAGTTAATTTTCATCAAGTGATCAGAAAGTAGAATTTGAATAAGATCCCAATTGTATCGTTCCTTTCTAAACAAGGCATTCCAAACTACTGAAAAAGCTTGAAGATAGAATCATTAAGACATTTAGATCAAAAGGTTTTGTTAGTCCTAATATTGTCCTTTATTGGACAGAAAGCATGCAATAAATTTTGAAAATAAGAATGAACAACATTTTTGCTTTATCTACGTATGTATGTATTTATTTAACTTTATTACTATTTTTTTTTATTTATTTATTTATTTTTAATCCATCTATCGTAAAAAAAATCATCACAATAATTTCCTAATTAATAGACAGCCTATGAATCTGTTCACGCTGGTAAAAACTTCATTCTTCGTTTTCTTCAATGTTATATTTTACCACTTTGGTTGATTTGATGTCATGCATACAATCAAAGGGAGACAACCCCTGGTTTTATCAGCGACACAATCCATTACTATCATTTTGTTTTCTTTCAGAAAATAATTTAATAGACATTTATAACTCCATATCTATCTCTAAATACTGAAAAAATCAGTCCTCTTATGTATAAAATGCTTTGAAAATAACTCCATAAGAATTACACACCAAAAACGTTCATATAGCTTACAAGTGCAGTGCAACATGCAAATGGAACAGGGTTACATGCACATAACATGCTGATGAACAAGATGAACAAATAAATAAAATGAAAATAATTTTTGAAATGTTTCGAATGAATGAATTAATGAAGTGACAAATCTAGCTGTTTTACAGATCTCAAATAAAATCTCTGTCAGCCAGATGTGGGAATGTCAAATTAAAATTCCTTGGTTCATTAAACTATGGTGGATCTTCTGGATGTCATGATAAAATCTTGTATGTTTATTATCAAGTGTAAATCAGTCGCATTTTGGGCATACAGTCTATTTCAGTTCATATATAACATTCAACTAGTTATTTAGCAAAAACAAATTAAGATTAATGTCTTATCTGAAAATCTCTTATCTAAAATATGAAAATATTGGTCACAATCACATGATTTTGAAATATCACAATCTATCATCCATAGGTGTAACTGTACACAAAATTTGTTTTACTGCAAGTGAAATAGCTAAGGCAACATGCTCAGGACAAACTTCAATGGATGACAAACATATATAAATCCTTAACCCTGTCAGTTATATTGAGGACACTAAATTAAGATAGAAGTACTTACAACTACCTCTGTATGACACACGGTGAACAGGTGGGAAGTCATATTAAAACATCAAGAAATATGACAAAGAAAAACAAATGCTTTGACTTCAGGAAAAATATGGGACACTTACTGGAAACTAGTAAACAAAGGGATATAACTCTTGCTTTCCAGGAGTACGTTTTAATACTGGCTGAATTTTTTTTATAACAACCATATCCTTTTAAATTTATTTGGTTCCTGTTTCCAAGATTTGATTGAAAATATTTTAATAAATCTATTGAATTCCTTAATAATAATTCACCAAAGTGTAAAACATTTGAAATTTGTTTGAAATTAAGACAAGGTTGAAATTTTCCCAATTTTTTCTTAACATTAAATGAATACATTATGATATCAAAACAAGGAATATATATGAAGATTTTATTTGAAATGATGACACAACACATATCAAAATAAACAAAGGAGGACAGAAAGGAAATGCAACTAAAAATGAGCTCATTCATCAAGCTAAGGCATAATACAAGTACTGTTCACAAACCTCAAGTTTTCTTCGAAATTTTTGCTGTTGAGCAGAAATTACATGAAATGGCATTATTTCATTTCTTTAGAACATTTAATGAAGGGAGCGTTCATCAAATGATGCTCATGATGTCTCTTTAAATTATGTTTATATTTCAAATCATAAATCAAAATTATAGATTTCTAGATTTCTTTCAGATTTTTTTTCTTGACATGCATAATTGGGTACAGGGAAGTATCTATAGCCAAAGAAAATAAAATAAATTGATGATGAAAAGCAAATCACTTAGCATCACATTGACACACATGGCAGCTTTAGCTTGTAAGCTTTTAAATAATTAAGATGTGAAAATATGATTTGGACTTAATATGGTCCGTTCTTGTCATAACATGCCTGTACGAGCCAACCTCTCTAATTGAGAATAAAGTTGAATATCATTTGGCTGATAATAATCTGATCATATTGAAAAAAAAACTTTATTATGACCAGACTATTCCAGTTTTGTAAGTCCAGAAGTTACATCAATTTGCCAAAATCAATCATTTTTCAAAGAATTATTATCGAAATCATTTCATAGTGTTTTGTATCCTTAAAACGACATCTAAATCCACATTAAAATTAACTTTCAACATAAAAAACAACCGATCAAAACCTTGCTTATCATTGGAAAGTTGAAGAAATATTTGTCTTCAAATGAATTCTATTCAACAATTTCATATTTTCAAAAATCCGTCTTCAATATTGTAAATTCTTTAGAAAAAATTATTTCAACTAATAATAAAATGTGAAGGTCATAAAAATGTAAAATTTTGTTATTTGCAAAAAAAACAGAAAACCTACACAATGTAGGTCTAATAAATTTTGATTTCATTTATTAGACTTTATTTTTTTCATATCAAGTTATCATAAAGCAATTTACATGGTGCGACATTTCCTAAAAAATAAATAAATACCCTTTTTCTATGATTTCATGATCATGAATGAGAAAATCAATGTGAAATGTTTCTAAAACTAGCTGCTTGGCAGGAAGTGAAGGACAACCTGTGTGCTTTCATAAGACAGTGGGAGTTACCTCCCTTATTCCACAACACCATATACATACCTTAAGTTTGGATATGCCTTCTATTGTGGAATTGGGGCCAGATAACTCCTTTACCAGTGTTGATCCCAAATACTGAAACAAATATTAAATGTACAGTCAAATGATTGTTGACAATTGGTAAATGGGATAAAATATCACTCTACCTGCTTGGGTCATCAGTCCAGACAGTCATACAAGTAGAAATGAAAGATGCACAGGTATACAGTCGAATATTGTTATCTCAAACTTTTATAACTCAAAGACCCTGTTTAATTTGAAGCATTTTGCCCGTCCCTGCCTCATTTTACACAAATCATTCAAACTCACTTAAATCAAATACTCAAACTGCCATGGTTCTGCAGAGTTCTGGGTAACGATGTTCCACTGTATACGATGGAAATAAGAACTTGAGGTAAGATTTCTATAGTATTTGTCTGCCATTTAGCCTAAGCCTGGAAACAAATATTAGGAAATTTTCCAGTAATAAGACCATCTCCTAAGTTTGAGTCAGTGGTTAAGTGTTGGCAGCCTGGGCTTATAGCAGGATAAACACGGTACATGTCATTTATGAATGTGTGACATTTCATTAATGTATACCTAAAATCAGCTATGAATATTTCCTCCCAACATAATTACAGATAAAGTTATCATGGTGCTATTCATGACCATTACAATTGAAATTTTGCTTTTTTCTTTCAAAATATACTATAAATATTTTCATACTGTACCTCAAATTTAAGTACCATTTCAGGGCTCTCGATCTGCCAGATTTGGGGCCGAATTCCCAATGCAAAATAGTATCTTTTTTTCCCAATTTAGACCCTAAGTTTTCCCCATTCTAAGGAAAACGCCGATATTTTTCCCAATTCTAAGGGCCCCGGGCCCCAGTCCCAAAATGGGGTGTGAGAGCCCTGCAGTGGCATGATTTTCAGTTAAATGTGATCAATCTCCTTAGTGATATGCTTTTTTTTGACAAACGTTATCTATTAATCAGTTTCAAAGGACCAACACACTATCTCTAAATCATGTAAGGGATGGGCTTATTATAGGACAATCAAGTATCATTTGTTAGGATTTTTGCATAACTGAGAAAGATGTTGGTGGGCTTATTACCAGCTTTGGATCTTACAGCTGGATAATGAGGGTAATATTGACAGTAAAGTGAGAAGGATACCAACCTGGGCTATATAATTACAATATCCCTTGATGAGCATAACTGGTGGGTGTCGCCACTCCTTGATGGGACTAGTGATCGTGGCTTGGTGGGGCGGTCGCAAGTGGATACTGTCATCCCTGATACTTATACCCTGAAACAAAGATGAGGAATGTGGAGGAAATTGTAAAATAACTACTGAAACTCAACTGAATACTACCGGGTAAATATAGTGTCTTTCTCTCCATATAAATATTAACAAGAGGCCCATGGGCCTTATCAACCACCTGACTACAAAAACTCTAAGCAGGGACAAAGGTTACTTTTTCTACCATGAATTAAAGTAATTATGATACATTTGTTTAAATGAAGAGCATGTGATATAGGAAAAAAAGAAGTTTCATAGATGTATTTACCTTTCCAGTAAGAGTTATTTCCCTTTAACAATGTTTTCCAGAGATTTGTTGTGATGGAGAAAAGTATTTCTTATTTGTGACTTTTGAATTTGAGAATATGGATTCTGGTAAAAATTTCATTTTTCCCTCTGATATCATAGGTAGTAGAGCTAGGAAGCCATGTTTATTATTAGTATCTTTCACAGGGTCAAGGATGTTGGAATACTATACCTTTTCTGACCGGAAGACATCTTCATCCTCACTGCTATCAACAGGAGGAAATGCATTCTGGGAAGACTCCTTGACATCCTCTTCAGAGGAGGTGAGAGGCTTGACGCCTGTGTAATCTTTGTACAGGTTCACATTGAACCGTTGACTAGATGAATCTGATTCTGACGGTTGTGGATCTAACCGCTTTTTCTGTAACCATGAATAGTAACCAAGACATCACACTCTACATGTAAAATTTGTGCGGTAAAACTCTCCTGAAAACTCGACAGATCAGGTCTCGGGTAAATTTCTACCAATGAAACTTGTCAGGAAATGTCTATCAGATAAAACTCTACAGGTAAAACTCTACAGGTAAAACTTTGTGTTTATGTTCGTAACTTTAAACTTACAGGTAAAATTAGCATGGTTATGTGTGTAACTTTAAACTTACAGGTAAAATTTGTCACGTAAAACTACTACTAAAACTTGTCATGTGAAACTTTTCAGGAAAAGTTAGTCAGTTAAAACTGCAAAGATGAAATTGTCAGGTAAAACATTACAAGCAACAAGTTGAGAGTAATTATCATCAAGAAAAACATCTTTTAAGGATTGTGAAGATCTACAAAATAACATAGTGACAACGGCATCTCTGGAAACATACAGAGGTCTACCTATTGTGAGGTAATAAACTGGCATCAGAGTACATACCAACGAGGGGTACTGCCTTTCTGGTGCCTGGCGTTCTCCTAATGACGCCAGGATCCTCTTGCGATGACCGATGGCTGATATGTCTAACACAGTTTGTAGCTCAACCTCCCACAACTTTAACACTCTCTCCATCGTGTCCTTATCATGCGACTTGAAGGAATCAAAATATGTTTCGAGACTCAAACTTTCCAGCCATTGTTCCACTGTGGCAGGAGGATTGTCAGTGTCTGTGATAGGTAAATCATGTAGGTAAGGTTAACTAATCAATCATATGTAAATTTACATGTATACTAATTATGGATTTGATACCTGTATTAACCAGGTCTTGACCTTTGACCTATCTATAAAAGGATACAACATCTAAGCTTCCAAAAGGATATGAGCTAGTTCAGCGTACTAGATTTGAACATGTGTTGCTAATAACCATCTGACTTCTGACCTTGCATACCTATGGTTTAAAATTTGAATTTAACTATGGGTTTAACATTTAAACTCAATTTGGTTTGACCTCTGGTATAGCCTCCTTTGGGTTTGAACTTTGAACTTACCTATGGGTTTGAACTTTGAACTTACCTATGGGTTTGATCTCTGGAAGAAGTCGTGCTGCATCAAGGATCTGTTTCCGGTGTTCACTATTTTTAATTCCTATGTGTTCTAAATCTTGGTCCTCTAGCAGTTTACCACCCTGAGGGACAGACAAACATTATTTTGTACCATAGTGCACTGTGTGATAATGATCAAGTGTCCAAGAAAACAAAAATGTTGTTGTTCCCTGTATACTGGCTCGATATCTGACCTCAGACATATCATTGTGATCTTCCATTTAACCAGGACAATAAAGGAGATAAACAGCAATCCAATATACTTTGTTATCATTATCAAATAATACAATACAATGCAACAAAATTTTCATTAAAAACTGTGAACATGAATCATTTCTATCATTATCTTTACTTTTCTGAGTAGATATTGAAATTTTTACATCTTTAAACCTCCTTGAAACTTACCAGAAAATCTGTGTTGTCATAACCGTTGGCAACTAAGGTATTTTCATATTGGCCTAGATTAAGCTCTTCAAGCCAATCACCAACACATTTTACTTTCGAGGTGCCTAGAGACAGAAATCATAAAAGTTGTACAAAACTCCACATTAAACGTCAATTTTAATTCGAATCTTATCACATCTATTTATATCATATACATGTATATACATCAAGACGTATCTTCTTCATCATGGAAATATGTCATGGTATATTTCTTGTAGTCATCATAATTGTGGAGAAATTTTATTTAATTACTCTTTCTTAGAAAATCAATAAATCAGACAAGTACAGATATCTCCTCATTGTTAACTATCAAGATACAAAGTCAGCACACAGGAAGAGGGGAGGTAACTCTAACAGACTTAACACAAAACAAAATAAGGAAAAACGTAGAGCAACTGAATTGGGTGAGGAATCATGACAACAACTAAAGCCTGGGAGAACAAAACTAGGATGTACAACACAAAGCAAACACAACAAAAAGACGTTTATACCAAATATGGGCATGTATCCATTTGCAATACATGTGATTCACATAATCATATATTTGATTTTGGACAAGTAGAATTTCCCTTCCTCTAATTTCCCTTAGTTGCTGGCAATGTTTACCAAAGCATTGATTCATTTACCCAGAAATGTGTTCTTATATATAGCAAAATTAAATCTGGGTATAGTTGTATGCTTGAGCTTACTGCTATTGTTTGTTGATCCAAAGCAGTGATGAAAGCAGCTTTGTACAGCAGATATGGAAATTTCAATACTAGAAAGGCTTCATATCTAAATATACTAATTTTAGGCCATCAGAAGCATATATAGCAGAGATTAGGAAAAGCCAGGGTAATATTGTAAGTGGATACTGTAATTTTCAACCATACAGACAATTTTTAAGAAATGGCAAGGACATGGAATTTGGGGCCCCGATATAAAAACAACAACCAACAGAATTAGTTATCTGGGATCCTGTTTTGTCAGGACAGCAATGGATGCAGTCACTTATTAGGGCCTAGAAGATATTCTGTTATAGCACAAAGAGTTTGAATGGAGGAGGATGGCACTGGTAAATTTTAACTATGGAAAGGCTTAGATTTGGTCAAATATACTGCTATTTGCCCTAAAAAGGCATGATGGGCAATGAGTTAGGAAGGAAAAGGTTGACACTGAATATGGTTAATTTCAACTCTGGAAAGCTTAGATTCCACTACTTATTTAGAGCTCTGAAAAGATGTAGAATTAAAAAGAAAAAGAATGGTGTTGGATAGGAGTTTTTAAGAACAGATTTGCAGTTGACTATCATTCTGATAAGATTTCTTTTTATGTTGGTGTAGGATTGGTAGGTCAGCTAATGACAGGTTCACAATTTGGACATTAGGATGTACAGGAGGACAGGATGGAATGTGGTGTTAAGATTGGTGCTAGGGGAGTACAAGAGCATGGTGGCTAGGGTAAAGGAATGAAAATCCAAAACCTACTATATCAAATCAGGACATATCTAACTCACAAAACTGATAGAGAATTTTTTACTTTACAACACATTTGATCACTGGAACAATACCATTTACTTATATTATTGAAATACAAACACAAAAGGAAGTTAAGTATGAGACACAGAAGGTAATTATGTAACAGACGATTAGGAAATCATATTCAGGAAACATGAGGATAGGGAACGACAATGGATGAAAGTGGAGAGACGATAATACTACACTTTAGCTTCAATCTGTATCATATTCAAATTTTACTGAATTTCAACATTTCTACATTTTAAAATGTTATTCACTTCCACATCAATCAAAACAACAGGCCTAAGGGACCTGCATCACTCACTTGTTGTACAGTAAATTTTGAGAAAACTTTGTTGATTTAATCACCTTCTCATTCAAGTATGTTGCTGGCTACAGATTTTGACTCTCAGTATTTGGAAATTCAGAAATTTAGAAGTTTTGTTTGACCTTTGTGATGTTTAATGTAGGTCAAGGTCATTCATTTCAAGAATGCGTTTTAGCTTTCCATCCCAGCATGCTACTAGCCAATATCATGACCATTCTCTTCATCACTGCTGATGTCATTTAAAGTGAAAGTTGATTCTGGATGGCTGACACACGACAGATGCTACACCACGACACAAAATCTATTGCTTTTCAGGAAGGTCAGCTGATAACTATAGAGGAAGTAAATCTGTATTTCTCTTCATTCCAAGTTAGTTAAACTACAACATCCAATGACTGTAACTAAAGGTTGTAACATTTTATCCTAATTTTAACATTCCAAGTTAGTCTTGCAGACAAGAGTTTGATAGGTCAGAACAGTATTAGTTGAAGGTGTGTACATTCATGATACCTTGCGAGGTGAAGTGTTCAGTAAAAGTGTTCAAGAATTCCTTCACAAAGACCGATTCTCGAGCCATTCCCACCCCTACAGAGTCTAGGGTAATCTGTATCTACAAATGGATCAAGAGAGACGATCAAACAAGGCAACATGCTATAAATACAGAAGAAATCACCCTAGAACATGCTAAACAAGCAAATTCAAACCAACGAAAATAAGCTGTTTAAAAAGATACAATTGTAGCATCGTGATGAGGTCAACACAGGATTTTATCAACCAACGATCGCAATATTGACCAATGAGGTTTCCATTGAGATCAATATCATTAACAGTGATTGTTACAATCAATATCTAACCAAAACCATGATGCCAAATGACAGTCTATTATTTCTTCATATCATTTTGAGTGTTTTTTAACTGTCAAAAACTTCAAAGAAAGCAATCAATATATTTTTTTATTTCATATCAATAATAATTAGTCAATATCAACTTTTGTGCGATTTTTCAAGTGTTGGGTAAATATATTTAAGTACCAGGTGATCACATGATGCATAATTTTCTGATAAGAATGCTCAAATGATATGAATAATATAATGTGGACACTCCCTCTTGGCAAAACTAATTACAAATTATAATTGGTTCTAATTCATTTCAAGTTGATTGACATATATGCTTTTTATTTCTTTTTCCAAAAATTTTAATGTCTAAATTTTTTTACTACAGCCAGTTGTTGTGGGTTTTTTAGGAATGCTTTCTTAACACAATTCAGTCTGAAAGTATAACAAAGTAATCAATTTACATTCTGCTTATATCGCAAAATTTTCGTGAACAGGAAATGAAATAAACCAATTTCTAGAAATAAAACTACTTCCACCGAAAGAGAAAGCCATGTGTATTTTTATCCTTCAAGGTTACAAAATATTTAACAACGTCTGAATCTGTTTTGTGCCAAATTGTGACAAGCTGGTGCTGGTAGCCATTTCTACCATTCCTTATGAATGGTTTGTTACATAAACGTCAGGAAACTGGGGCAGTTACATTCTCCCAGACAGACCAATCCTGCTTGATTATCCAGGACAACACATGGTCCAGGCCTCTTTCCTTTGACTTTGACTGATATACATGTCCCTATATTTCCATAAACATTTCAGTTACTTTCACATTAATGTTGTGAATATGATTCCAGAATATTTATTTTCTTTTTATTTGTTCCATTATCTTGATCTAATATTGAATTGACTTTCCTTTTAGTAAACCAACAAATCCATTAATATGTTAGAAATTTCATGAAACATTTCTGCTTATTTTTGAATTGTTAAATATTTTGCAACCAAATGAAAATACAGATGATTTAAAAAAAATTGAAATGAATTTAATTGTGAAAAAACCCATATCAGCTCAATGCATCAGTGACCTGAAAGAAAAGAGATATTAGCATAAATGAAACAAAGAAAAGCATGCAGAGTTGAAAGTTTTAGTTTCAAAGATCCAACATTTGGTAGCTGACTAACACCAATACACTAGCATAACTACCAGTGCTTTATTGTATACTCTTGCTGTGTTCAACATTGGTTTTGTTTTCATGATCATTTAACCAATCTTCCTTTCTATATTTGTATGGTACCAAAATAATATATGCATTTTGAAGAAAATCTTGTTCTTACAAAACATTGCTCCCTTATGTTTTTTTTTCAATTTTAAGAATTGCTTCACGGCATAACAGACTTAACCGTCTTTTATAACAAAATACTGCATGAGCTACCAGTGAAAATTGACACGGTTTCCTTTTCAAAACTTCCAACTTAAAATATTCACACAAGCATGCATCTTTCCAAGCAATTATAATGGCATGCAAATAAGGTATACAGTATGCAAATGAGATATAAGATCCAGGGAACAGGATACAGCAGGCAAACTCCCAGCATTCTTTGCATCTCGTTGCTATGGCTACCAATGTACCTTTGAAAAGCCTGTTTATTTCGCTCTCTATGGAAGACAAATCGCTGAACTGTGAAATGTCCTCTCCATAACTGGACAAAATACCTGCAATCTAAACATCTCAGATTGTCAACCAATCCATCAGGTAGAAATATCAATAAGTCAGAAAATGTATCACATCGAGAGTCTTGTAATAATAAATCAAGGGGGCAACACACAATCTCTAAGTTAGAGTGTGGCTTTGTTATAGGGCAATGATAATGCCTTCCTGTAATATCAGAGAAACTACATAGATATGGGTGGGCTTATTACCAGACATGGGATTATTGCCAGATAGAAATGACATACAGCTGAAACTCGTTGCCACAAAATCGCTTGAATCGAAATTTCATTTGAGTCAAAGTGATTTTTCAGTCCCTTCAATTGTAATGTAAGAAAAAGGTCATTTGCTGTCTCGAAATTAATTTTAGTCAAAACATTGGCATGTCTTCTGAAGAAATCGGTCGATACATACACATATCAGAAAGTCATCTGTGCATAACACATGGCTAATTACAGCATATTGTTCACACAATATTTTGTCTCTGGTAATAAATTACCAATTTAATTAAGCAATTAAAAGTTCTTCTTAATTAGTGTCATCATCCTATAGCAGTGACTTATCTGTAGTTTAAACAAGTTTATAGAAGACATGAAAACGTTAAGCTTGGTTGTGTGCTTTTTGAAGAAGAATTAAAATGAAACCTACAAACCAGCACAGATTTTTTGATGAAATCTAATCCCCATAATTCCTAGAAAACTTATATATATGAGTTTGTTTACTAAAGAACTGTGATCGTGTGATATGCTAGGTTTAGTGCTTGGACAATAAAGTGCTGAACGTAAATGTATTGACAGAGTCTATATCTGTACATAACTTGTTAAGTCTAGTGCTTATATAATGTTTTCTACAACAGGTAAAACGCTTTCTAGTGCTGCTTTTTTCATGTTTATTTATTCATAATAAATTCATATTAATATGACCTGAAGCTAAGTACGTTGTTTTTCCGTAATAATGTCAAGAAACTGATATCGTCAACCTTATCTGGACACTTTGTTTGAATCGAAATTCGGATAAGTCAAGATATTTTCCACAGTTCCCTGTATTTTGAGATAACGAGTTTCGACTGTAGATACATATGATAAAAAATATCCAGAAATTAATACTATAATCTCGTGTTCAGGTCAAAAAGGGTAAACAGTTTATTAAGTGATAAAATTAAAAACAATAAACTTTCCCACAAAAGCTTTACAAATCTTTCAAATTTATAACAGAATCTTAAAATTTTTATCGAAAATATAGGATTACAAAACATTCAAAATATTTATAAACCTGGGCCCAATCGGCGGTGTCGTCGAAGTGGTTGGCATCGGGTTCTGTCTCTGCAGTCATGGGTACCCGAGTGCCTGAAATACTGTCAATCATCTTTTTGTCCACGTCTTCTTCTTTCTCCATGAGAGGGTCAAACGGCATCAATCCTGTCATCGGAAGTGACTGCCTCTTCTTTGCGCGTAGATACTTTCGGTGTTTGACATTGTCCCAGATTTGTGACACAACCCGACGAGGCCGACCAACTACTGATCCTCTAAGAAGACCTGAAAGTACAGAAAACATCAACTGATATCATTTCTGTTATTATAACCTAAATATGAACACTTTAATACCTCAAATACTTTATAATGGCATAATCCATACAATCCTTTCATTTCTTAATGACTTTATAACTACGTAATTCGATTCATCACTTTTTGGATCCATTAGATCTGTGATAACATCACAATATCAACAAATCAGCTGAATAATCATCCAGGGATGAGACCATGAAGACAACACATTACCTCTTACTCAAAGTCTAGGGGGTGGGCTTATTACAGGCAATGGAAAAGTATTGGTTTTATGATTGTACAGAAAACAATGCAATTCATACAAATATATGTATAAAGGAGAGGTTACGGGCTAGTAAAGGCTTATTGCTGAACAATAACAGTAAACAAAAGATCTGTACAGTAAAGTACAGTAAAACTAAATATCTGTACAGTAAAGTACAGTAAACAAAAGATATGTACAGTAAAGTACAGTAAACAAAAGATCTGTACAGTAAAGTACAGTAAACAAAAGATCTGTACAGTAAAGTACAGTAAACAAAAGATCTGTACAGTAAAGTACAGTAAACAAAAGATCTGTACAGTACAGTAAACAAAAGATCTGTACAGTACAGTAAACAAAAGATCTGTACAGTACAGTAAACAAAAGATCTGTACAGTAAAGTACAGTAAACAAAAGATCTGTACAGTACAGTAAACAAAAGATCTGTACAGTAAAGTACAGTAAAACTAAATATCTGTACAGTAAAGTACAGTAAACAAAAGATCTGTACAGTAAAGTACAGTAAACAAAAGATCTGTACAGTACAGTAAACAAAAGATCTGTACAGTAAAGTACAGTAAACAAAACATCTGTACAGTAAGGTACAGTAAACAAAAGATCTGTACAGTAAAGTACAGTAAACAAAAGATCTGTACAGTAAAGTACAGTAAACAAAAGATCTGTACAGTAAAGTACAGTAAACAAAAGATCTGTACAGTAAAGTACAGTAAACAAAAGATATGTACAGTACAGTAAACAAAAGATCTGTACAGTACAGTAAACAAAAGATCTGTACAGTAAAGTACAGTAAACAAAAGATCTGTACAGTACAGTACAGTAAACAAAAGATCTGTACAGTAAAGTACAGTAAACAAAAGATCTGTACAGTAAAATACAGTAAACAAAAGATCAGTACAGTACAGTAAACAAAAGATCTGTACAGTACAGTAAACAAAAGATCTGTACAGTAAAGTACAGTAAACAAAAGATCTGTACAGTTAAGTACAGTAAACAAAAGATCTGTACAGTAAAGTACAGTAAACAAAAGATCTGTACAGTAAAGTACAGTAAACAAAAGATCTGTACAGTAAAGTACAGTAAACAAAACATCTGTACAGTAAAGTACAGTTAAACAACATATCTGTACAATACATAATTCTGTGACTAATTATACACATGCAATGTTACTTAAAGCTTTAACTACAGAACCACAAACACCCAGCATTCAACATCAGAGGAGCTTTTTGCACATTATACTGCATTCACTTGGTATACTTTCAAAATACCTTTAACTATAAAGTAATTTTATTGACATTGCTATTTTCATTTAATATTTCATATATTAAAGCTACACCACAAAACATGGAATGGCTGGCTAGTAAAACATCACATCAAATTTGCCCGAAACCACAACATGTCAAACAAAAATACCTACAATAGTGATTTTAAGTAACAACAGATGTTGATTAAAAGCTTTTTAAGACTTTAATTACCATTTTGTTCTTAAGTTGATTGCCATGAAGCTGAAGTATTGTCTGACTGCCTAAAAATATTGTACCGCCCAATTTTTTCTTATTCCTCCTAAACTTGGCAAGTTAGCCAATTTACCTTTAAATGTTCGTTATCTACTTCACATAAAAGTGATTTGAATATACCAGTCACATATAAAACATCAAATTCAGTCCGAAACTTGAGGTAGGTAGGCAGATGTTGACAAACATAAATCCGAAAGAAAACAAATCAATAAATAATGAGTGTAGAAATCTTTTGTTACTGTTAGTAATTCACAATTCCGCACAAGATTTTATTCTCCGTCTTTCTAATTAAACAATCATTAAAGACAGAACTTGATCAAGTCAATAGATTGCTTGATAGCAAATGATCACTGCCCTCCGTCTTATTGTATGTTCATTGGAATGGGTTTGAAATCTAAAACCTCGCAAACATTGGGTGGGCTTATTACAGAATATGGTAACATTGTAAGTAATTAGTGAAATATGCTACATGTTAAACTCATTGGCCTGATATTAAAAAAGAAAAATTCCAACTTTATCGGAAAAAAATAAAATTTTTAATTTTCGGAAGGAATTTCCGTAAAATAATGAATCACACAGAGTTAAAGATAACTAATTGATCACATCTCCCCCAGCATCAAAATATTCCATCAGATACTTCCTTTATCAAATTTAATGAGTGCAGCGTTCATATCAATAGAACATTTTCTACCATAGGACCTCATAACATGTCCAATTTCAACAATAAAACATCTGTGTGCATACGCCGTGCCAATATATTGACCAATCCATGGGGAGAAAAACATATTATTGCTCGCAGACTCTCCCAATAAAATGGCCAATATTGACTTTAAACCCCACATTTCACACTGCATGTCAAAGCCTCTTGTATGTGCTATCGTTATATTTCTAAATTTTACGCTGTCTCATAGAAACCCTAATTTACACGCAAACTGCTTTGTAAGCAAATTTGCTTACTGCCACATTATGACATTTTCATGGTCTTCCACACAGGCTTGATCAAACAAAGTAATTTGTTCTGACAATATTACAGACAGAAAAAATTTAATTAATTTCCGAATACATAACACTGCAAGGTTATAGGGAGAAGCCAACACAGACGGTGTTTAACAGTAATGTAATATAGGTCTCCCCTATGTAAATACATAGACGCTGTTGTTTAGACTACTTTTAATTAATTTAAAACACAGTGATGTCAGGTTGATTCAACCTCTATGTTTATAATGAAGTGGAATTGTAGACTCATGCCCATATATCACTATTCATTGATATCATTGGAGTCAACACTGTATTTCATGACAGCATTATTGAGTCATAACCATACAAAGCAACCTCTCTTAAAGAACATCTCCTAAAAGGATATTTCCAAAGCAATTTCATTCTCCCAAAAAAAGTCTACCTTTCCAGTGGACCTCAGCTATGACAAACTGTCTAATCTGACTTATGCTCCAATAAGATCACCACTTAGATAAGACTAATATTGAATATTCCAACAAGACTTGTAACATCTGCAGTAAACCAACTCTCCTTAAGGACAACCTCTCCAACTAAATTTCTCCAATCAAAACAGCTGTCCAATAAGACAGTATTTCCAGAGCACACATTCCAACATTTTTATGAGTCTAGTTACAAAGAGATATAATCAGATCTCAAAATTTCATTTAGTTTCACATGAAAAGCATGAGACCAGAACTCAAATATTTGAGTCCCAAAAGTCATTGTAAAACAAGCAAATTCATGGAATTTATATCCCCCACTTTCCAAACATATTGATCAATGAAATCAAATTATACCTCATTAGTATGCATAATTTTTAACAGATGACATTGATAGTCAAACTCAGTCTTAATGACCCCAAGATGCATCTGCTGACCAAGTTTTACCCAAATTGGATGATATTTGGGGAAGTTAGAACACAGAAACAAAAGTGTGACAGACGAACGGATGGACAAAAACAAATTAATATCCCCCGTTTCGGTGAAAGCGGGGAAAAATAAGCTTCTATTCTACAATATCCTAGCTCTCCAAAATGATCTTTACTCTTACAATGAAGCCTTTCAAACAGAAAAAAACATCTCTTAAAACCATGCAAATTTTGTAAATTTCTCATCTTTATAGATAATGCATTTTCACTGAATGTTCATTCTAAAATGAACTTTGATCCTGTTTATAGTTATAACCACACCTTTAAATAAATCTACAATCTTCTGTACCATCTTTCAGAACATATACAGCCACAGAACCACTCTAGACATCTCCCACAGAAATCACAATATACCATATTTCTCCTAGTCCAGGGGCCTATTACAGAACAATGATACACCATTATTTACTTGGATTCTTCAATAAGTGTGGGTGGGCTAGTTTATTACTACATGCGGGCTTTATTCTGGATTAATACAAATGATGACAAAACAGAAAATCCTGCCTACTAAACACTTTCTCAACTTCGCGATCAAATATAGCACATACATGAACTTTATGCTGGATTGATTCAGTATAAATGGTGACAGAAATGAGAATCATGCCTTCTATACTTTTTCCTGACTTTACGATCAAATATAGCAAATACATGAACTTGATATGACAATTTTACACCAACAAGTCTCACATCAAATGTATGTTGTAACACATTTGTCAGTAAACCACAGGCCTAACTATAGTTATTTGTAAGTTAACTCCTACAATAACTTCCGTATTCCTGTGTTTGTGTGAAACACCTGCCCGACACCCACACTTACAGCTCAATACCTTATCACCCGGCCTTAGTTAACACCTGTCCTTTATGAGCTGATAAAACATTACCCCTGGGGTACTACCTGTGAATCTCAACATGTTAACACCATTTTCTCAGAGGGAAGTGGATATAGGTCAAATTTTTCAGAAGCATGGGTCAAATTGTACAGAAGATAAGGTCTCACCTTCAGAATCTGAGGGTTGAGGTTGTGTTACCTACAAATGCCCCAATAGACTGGATAAGTTCTTCCTCCACTGATTTACGAAATATTTCCATAAAGTGTGAAGGATCAAAACTAATGACATGTGTTCTTTATACTATATCTATATATAATATACCAAACCGTATTTATCCCACAAAAAACCCATGTCGTCAAAACATAAACTCTAATGCAAAGTCAGGATTGTGTTTATTGAAGGATAATGAAATATAAATCAATTGAAATATAAATTAAGAT